TACCGCCCCTTATCTTCACACAACTAGGGCTGGGTATCGTCACTGATTTCTAGAATCGATTCAATTCTGATTCAAGTCGATACATATATATCCATATTTTTATATCTATAAAAGGAAAGCTGACACTTGCTAGAATTTATCAAAGGTGTAAGCATCACAGCAGATGCCTTTGTGTCAAAGTAACTGAGGATAAAACACAGAAAAACATGAAGAAGATTTTCCTGACCTGGGATTTTATAGCAGATGACCTTAAAAATATTCTGCAGTAGATCAAAAACAAAAGAAAACCATTAGTCAACATATGAACATTACCTGATGCTGCTGAAGTGAAGCAAAGCAAAGTTACAGAGGTTTTATTAGAGACACAGCTAAGTGTTTTGCAATTTTGCATAATTTTAAAAAAAGTTAAAATTTGTTCAGTAGCCTATTCAACAGCAGAAATGAGGCTTTCTTTTCCTAAGTAAGTAAAAAAAAAAAAACAGCGTCCGACAGCGCTGTAAACGACGGTAGACTTGTGCGTAGTAAGCAAGCAAATAATGCAGAAAACAGAGATTTTTGATGAGAAACTGTTCTCAAAGTACACTGAAAGAGAGAGAGAGAGAGAGAGAGAGAGAGAGAGCTGTACATGAAGTGTGATTTTTATCATGGTGGAAGCAAAACAGCAAAAGTAAGAGGGAATTCATGACAATGTTATGTGAAGCATAGTTTGGATCTTCTTTTGCTGCTGGTTCAGTCAATTGTTTGGAGAGAGATAAAAGTACAGCTTCCGAATCTAGCGCAAAATGGATGTAAACACAAAGCGCCAATGCATCAGAATCGGTGAGCTGTCGGCTTTCAGCCCCGACCGTGTCCGTGCAACATCTCACTGATTCTGATCCGTCAGCGGGTCCATGCTTTGTGTTTACATCTTTGTGCAGAATCTGTTTACCTGCTCTCATTTACTGTTTTAGCTGTTTGGTGGTTGTTGAAATTTTGCTAGGTTTAACCTTAGATTCCGGTGTTTCGGGCAAAATAAATTTATATATGAAAAAATCAATTCAGGAATTTAATGAATCGATATCACATTATCCGAGGTAGAATCGATAATCAAAACCCACCCCTACACACAACATTGTAAAGGTGTGTCAACCAAGACAGCCCTACAACATCCAGAGCTTTCAGGAACTCAGGGCGAACCTCATCCACCCCACGATCTACCTGCATGATACACGGTGCAGTCACGAGCAGTGGGTAGAATGAGACTGCAGATACAAGCGGCGGAAATAAGCTTTCTGCAAACGGTGGTCGGCCTCTCTCCTAGAGATATGGTGAGGGCTTCTGCCATCTAGGAAGGGCTCAGAGTAGAACTGCTGTTCCTCCGCATCGAAATTAGTCAATATGGGTGGTTTGATTATCTGGCAGTGATGCCTCCTTGGCACCTCATGGCTGAGGTGTTCCGGGCATGTCCTACCGAGAGGAAGCCCCAGGGCAGACCCAATACACTCAGAGATTATATGTCTTGGCTGGCCTCTTAACGCCTTGGTGTTGCTCCAGTAGATTTTCTTAGTGTACAGGCTGTGATCAACTGACCTGCTGCTCTTTGTGAATATACACAACTGAATTCAACAAGATGTGAGCAGATGTTTCATGAGTTGTAAACTGTTTATGTTTTCTTTACATTAGACACTACACAGTTGGTATGAAGGTGAAATTTAATGAATCTAAGCATCATTAGCTAAAATTCAAATGAATCTCTGCTACATTTGATTAACCTCACTCCGACCATGAAACCACAGCCAGTGTGCACACACTGTTCTTTACTTTAAATTCATCACACAGGACAGGAATCTAATCTGTTTCATTAAGCTACAGAGTATTTTCATGCAACCTTTAATAAACACATGTTGTCCACATTACTTTTTTTTTTCTCAGAATCTGATTTAAAAACATGAGGACATACATATATGTCATGGTCCTGGGTCATGTGACCCAGTATTCTGAGTTTCTTGATGTTTTTGTTATTCCTTTCAGTCTAGTTTCATTTCAGTTTATCTAGTTACATTCTGTCATGCCTAGGTCACAGTTTTAATTCATGATTT